GATCCTCGGACTGCCGCTGTGAAACCAAAAGCTGTCAATTTTTACACCCGTTAACAAAACTCCACAGAGTCCTTGGCTTAAGTTGGAAGTAATCCCAGCGGTTTGGTGAATCTAAATGTTAACAGTGACGAGGAAAACAGCGCGGTGCCTACCCAAAGCAAAATCTGATGCAAGGTTTTTACTGTGTTGTGGTGCATTTTGTCTTATTTGCTGTGTGTGGATCTGATGGACAGCAGTGGAGGGAAAATCTGTGACTTTTACTGGTTTCAGTTGGTCTTTTCTTCAGCAGCTCAAGGCAACTGATTTACAGAGGGCATAAGCTTCTTAGCAGCAAACAGCACAGGGACAAAGTTAGATAGGAGCAACAAATGAGGAGGATTTAACTGCTAAAGAGAAAAAAAAAATGTTTGCCCTCAGGGGTTTTCCAGAAAAATTCTAAAGGGTAAAAGCTGGAAGTTTATGATGTGAACACACACACACAAAAAAACATTAACTCACTGATAATATTTTTCAATATAATATAGCATATATAGTAATCACTGGTTTGAGTGAGTGGTCTATGTCAGTAAAGTTTTTGGGATGCTTCTACAGTCCCAATGAAGAACGAAGCTATTGTTTCTGCCCTAATATTTCCTGGGTCAAATCCAGATCTGTCGTTAATAACAACGACAAGTTTACAGTCGGATTTTGTCATCTGCTACGTGGAAATGCGGTTGAGATGCATCCGGCTCTCCGAGCTGACTTTAGATCATTTAAGACAAACGAAAGACGCTCTCTCCCTTCACCACCTTTGTCCCGCAGGAAGTGTTTGTCCACTAGTTCAGATTCACGTCAGAGCTTTGATGGAGTACTCTGATAGAAGTGCACCCTCCCCCCCCCCTCCACAGCTGTCGCCTCTGACCCTGCAGTGGCAGTAAGAAGTGACAGCTTGAGTAATGCTCTTCATCCTGTGAGGTCCATTGAACTGAAGGTTAGGCATTGTGTGCTTGGAAGGAAAACAATAATCTGTCTTTAATATGAATTCTTTGTCACCAGGTCTGTCCCAGAGCCTCCAGCCTGAGAGCTTACTGTGCTGCATTCTCATATCTACAGACATGTTCTATTTTCCTAAGACAATCCCTTATAAACCTGACTGTACCATAATCACATTGCTCCTGATTGATGGCTCTCTGAATCTTTTAAAGCTCTTCTTTGTTAACCTTTCGTCTCACATTTATTTATTTATTTATTTAGTCATTTTGAGCCTGTGGAGTCTGATCTATCAATCATATAGCATGAAGAGCAAATATGAAGTACAAACTGGAAGCATGAGCACTTATAACATTGGTGTTTACCAACGTTATAAACATAAAAAGTTTTAAATTATACCTCCAGGCACTTTGCAGATTTGGCGTCTTGCTGCTCTCTCCCACTGTGTTTATTTCTTTCGCAACATAGTTAATTTATAAAGCTCTACCGTGATTATTCAAACCAGAACGACTCCTAAGCAGAAACAGATGGTGTGATAAGTAGAAAACCAAGTATCTTAGTTTGTAAAAAAAAAAAATAAAGACAAAAAAGGCGAAGAAGACCCAGTTCAAACTGTATATAGAATGAGTCCATATGGATCTGATCACATTTAGAATAACTTTCTTCAGAACTGTCCTTGGGTTTGTGTTAGAATGTAATGAGTGAATAAATGTATTATATCCTGGGACACATTGAAGGGAAACCTGCAGACCTTACATTGCTCCTGGTAGGTTGCTGTGTTACCTGCTAAGCTCTTAAATAAATAAAAAATCCAATATCATACTGTGAAAGAGTCAGTAAGTAACTTTAAATATTTTTTTTTTTTTTTTTTTTACATTTTTGTTCAAACTGTCACTATGTCACAAACTGTAAACTGCCAGTAGGAGACAGATAATGTCTGAAAGAAAATGAGCTCCTCTGCTTCCTCCCAGTGCTTCTGCTGCCATCTACACCGCTAGGACAGAAACAACCAATCAGAGCTCCTCCTGGCTCTGATTGGTTGTTTCTGACTGGAAGCGGTGCATTTCTGCAGATGGCAGTAGAACAACAAGAACGGGCCAGGGGAACTCCAATTTTTCACAGTTCGTCTTTCCCATGTTATACTGTCATGACATGGGGACAGTTTTAAAAAATATGTAAAAACACACATTTTTTTTTTTAAGAAAAGTTACCTACTTTTATTTCTTAAGAAAACCTAAATCTTTTCGATTTAATTAAGTTACTTTTAGGAGCTCATTCAAACAGCTTGTGCTAAAAATTGCAAAGCACAAGATATATATTTTTCAGGGAATATCCACTTGTATTTTTTTTTTTATGAACTAATGAAAGTGTATGTGAGTTAGCTGCCGTGTGTTTTACTACAGCGCTTTTTTATGGGTTAATATCTCTAGTGACCTTGAGGTGAAATGTGATTTTGTTAAACCTCACATTCTCCTCTCTCTTTGTATCTCCTAAGCCTCATAGTGATGCTTTTCAAGAGTCTGTGGCTGAAATAAGTCTTCAGATTGTGACTAATCTTAGTAAAGGTCACTAGCTGTAAGGACTGAACGTATCTTATCTTATTGACATATCAGCAGAAATGTTGAGTCCTGAGCCCGACTCCATTTGCGACATGGGTAGAGTTTCGGTTCATCTCCATGCAAAGCGGCTAACTGGGATCAGTCAGTCATTCAGGGTGGATTTTAATGCCAGGTGAGAACGGTGAGCAGTAGTTCTATCAAAACACTTCACCTGTCTATATCGATTTTTTATTTATTTTTTATTTTTTTTGTTGTAAGTGAGAGATTCCATTCTTACCTTCATGAAAATAAGTCTGTAAAAATCAGCAACAATGGACTTCATTTATTTTTAATCTGTTAAAGAAAGGAATGAAAGCAACATTCAGTTTCATCAGAACGAGGCCTGCTGAGGAAACTGTAGGCCGACATGTTGCTTCTTCTCGCTCTGAAACTTTACCCGTTGCATCTTTTGCCCCTGGCGGTTACATAGTCTCAGTAGAAAGGTCGACACGCTGAATCTCAGCCTGGTATTTCCATTAAGTCCCAAAATGGCAGACAACTGGAACCTGCAGAGGACAGTGAGGGGAGCTGAGAAGGTTTTTTTCTTTTTTTTGAATTGATTCTTCATAACACTTGTATTCTTATTAATCATTTAACATATAATTGAATTGTGTTCAGTTTTAAATCATATATGAGTTCTAATAAAATGTTTAGCATAAAAAGTTGTCTTTTTGACATTGCATTTTTTTTAATAACTGCTTTTTTCACCCTTCCCTCTAGTTTACTGAGAGTCTATTTAAAACGACTTGTTGGCTTTGCAGAAGAGGTTTGAGTCTGTTATAAATTGTTTTTTTTTTCCCCTCAAAGTCAACAAAGTATCTTTGAACATAAAGCCAGGCACATCCTGTTTTATTGTTTTACCTATAAGCTCGAGAGAAACACCTGCATCTTGGAATGACCTCAGAGGTGCCAGATGCTGATTGGCAGCTAGAATAATTCTAGAAATAAAAGTAAAGTATACAGAGGATCAGGTGCAATAAAAAAAAAAAAAAAAAATCAATGTAAAAACAATTTACAGCCATTTCCTGTATATTTAGCTTGTTTGATAGATTAATAGATAAACATGATAGGATTACAGCTTTATAATCTGTTTGTCTTGTCTCCATTATTTGCTCAAGTTGTATCATTCTTGAGTTCCTAAAAGCCTTTGAAGCTGCTGCATAAGAGGATACAGAATAAGTGTTATTCTACGTGTAATACCTTTAAAAAAAAAAAAAAAAAACTCCTCCTCACCCAAGACATAGATGTTCTTTGTAATGTTTGAAACCACACGCTGTGTGGCAGCGGTAACACATCATCCGGCATTCCTGGAATACTCCGTGGTAGAGGAAGCAAAGTGGGAACATTGCCGTTGAGACTTGTCAACAGCAATGTTGTCTTGTGTCAGCTTTGAAGAGAGCAGCAGTAAGTAGAGTTGTCCCAATCAGGTTGTTTGTTGTCCTTGTTTACAGTCAGAATTGTTGTGCAATAAGCTTTTCCCAATGCAACCCCAGTTTTATGTGTCAATAAAGACAAATCTGTAGCTTCGGGGTTCATGACTCAACCGTCAGAAAGAGGCTGGGTGAAAATGGCATCAAACTTCTGCTGATAGAGAAAAAATAAAGCAAAGGTCTGTCTGTTTTAAAAAATAAAATAAAATAAAAATAACCTCACACTGTACATTAGTGTAGATTCCCCAGTTATCCAGGACACGACAATCATTTGTTTGAAGACGACTGGATTTCAACGAGAGAATAAGTTCGGTATGATCTTGATGATGCCCCAGGCTTTTTTTGGGGGGGAAACAATTCTTTGCCTGTGTGCATTTTGGAAAAATAGCATTCTAGGAGTAAAACAGTGTGTTGGTAGAGACGGCTCTTTGGCCTCAGGACGTGGAAGACATGATGTAATGCACCCGTATCTTTTTCACAGCACTGTATTTTGTTACGAGGAGCATGTGGGGTCTTTTTTTTTTTTTTAAACATACATCCCAATCATAGCCAAGAGCTCAGTGGTCCAAGTGAGAATGAGCTTTGGGGCGGGGGGGCAGCTCCCCCGCCCCCCACAACCAGTTTCTCTAACTCAGAGATGTCAAACTCATTTTCGTTTTGGGCCAAATCAAGGTCATGAATGCTCTTAAAGGGCCGGTTGCACCAGAATGTATTGATAAAACCCATTCACAAACTGTTGAAATATTAATGAAATCTTAAAAATGCATCCTGCATGTTTTAGTTCTCTCTCTGGTGGTAGTTACAACCTTTCCAGCATGTCAATGTTCCTCTTAGGCCTCTAATGAGCCATCATTTGATCCAGGTGCATTAAACCAGGGAGAGAACTAAAACATGCAGTTTTAGTTCTCTCCCTGGTCTTTGGACACCCCTGGTGTAGATTCTAGAGGGCTACACAAAAAGCGACGGCGGGCCAGATTTGGCCCACGGGCCTCGAGTTTGACACATGCGCTCTAACCGCTTAATTCAGTCCAGCGCCGTCCGTCTCCACAAGTCGTTGTGCGGGAGGTCGGGAACAGTCAGGAGCTCTTGTGCCGTCACAGGGAGTCACAGAGACGAGTGTGATGGACAGGCACTCTCACACTCACGTCTCCTTCCTGTGAGGAATAGTGCCAAGCACTCTGGCTGCTATCCACAATCACCCTGATCCAAAAAAAAAAAAAAAAAAAAACTCGTTGTGCTACCCTGTTTTTTTTTTTTTTTTCTAAATGAACCACTATTCATTTCATGTAAAATATGCATCATCCGCAGGCTTAAACAAAAAGGCCACAGTTTAATGACTTCGACTGACCTTTAGATTTTTTTTAAGGCCATTACAGCTCCTCCAGCAGATATTTCTGCACATGATCACCCTGCTCCCACCGCTGAACACTAATGAGACGTGTTACCTCCCGTCACATACAGCCCTCCTGCTGGTTTCTGTGCGGTCTCTTAATAGTTCAATTGCAGCATACATAGCCCCACATCTGCACAATTTGTCAGCTTTAAATACTAATGCAAAGTAATGACTAAATAATTAAATATGGTTGTATTTATACAATTAATATATTTAACAAGGAGCGTCTATATTATCTGCTGCTCCATTTGGCCTTTTCTGTTGGGTCCAGGAGCCCTTTAGTCATGTTGTTGCTGACACTCTTGTTGCTCATCGTCTCTCTTAGCCTTGTTCATGACATTCTTCTCACTCATTATTACACACACACACACTCATTCAATTCAGCAGGGACGTGCTAATCTGTGATTCTATGATTTCTTGTTTAACTCTATTTACAAGGAACAGTGTCTGGGGTTAGCAAACACTGCTGGCTGTGTGAGGCTCTCCGGGTGTCTGTGAGCTGCACAGAAACCATTAGTGTAATAAATAATGCCCCTTTTCTGCTTCTTTCACAGTCAGTTTTTCTTCTTTTCTATCTTTTTTTTTTTTTTCCGCCTCAATCATCAGCGTTTATTGGCCAGAAGCAGAAATCACAGACCGGCGCTGTACCGTCACCAGGAGCGGAAAGAGAAGAGAAAACATTCTACTCGTGAGAAATTAGGAATTTAATTTGAGTAAAGTGTAAGGATTATTTACATAGAAGTACAAGGGTAGTGCATATAACTGAAGCGACGGTTTCCAAATCTTACAACGCCAGGACAGAATGTTAAATTGAATTATTTCAAAGTTTATTTCAAGACATTATTTCAATTTCCACAATTGTAAAAGTTTGCAAACGGTTCTTTAACGTGGTGTTGTGTGTAATTGTTGAGAGTGGGACTGTGAGGCTTCTGGAAAATGCATCCAGTTCATAATTCACTCCCTGATACTTGGCTTGATTTATTTATTTCCCCATGATGTTGTTTTGCACTCCTCTGCCTCCATCTAACACAAATGTTGCGATTGAATACAAGTTATCCTGACTATGCCGGTGGCAAGGTTTGTTTATCTGTATATTGAAATTTGTAAAAGAAAGCCAGAGGTTTCTGACCCTGAAGAAGTCCACTAGCTGACAAAGAATGTTCCTCAATATTTCAAGTGTCGCCAGAGCCCTCATCTCACCACATGCTTCAAAAGAAATCACATAGATTCTATTTTAATTAGTCTCTGACATTCCTTTCGACTCTGTTATGTGCACCTGATACTTTTTAGCTTTAATCAGATTAATAACCAGCTTCAGCAAATTTTGTAATCACTTAACTGTGAGTGAAGTAAGGGAACATTTTCTGTTTTAGGAAAACTTCTCACTAGCTACATTTTAGTTTATTTCGAGTTTTTCATTGAATTAACAACGTCGTGGTTGCTGTTTTGTTGGATGCGACGTGTTGTAGGTTTGCTGGATCAAATACAGCTTAGAAAAAGCAATTCCTATGATGTAGTATCTTAAATATGGTTAGAAGTTCACACAGCCTCTACATCTTTCTTGGGATTTCAGCACTTGTTCTGTCCACCAGTCACTGCAGGACTTTCTGTTGTTGTGCTAAGAAACACTGAATCCTCAGGACAGAAACGCCAAACGCCACGTGATACTGTTCGACTAGACTAGGGTCATTTTCAGCGAAGGCGGCTCGGGTTTTGGCCGGCCCTTATTTGGCACGGTACTGCTAATTTTATTAGCGGTTATAAAAAATTATGTGAATGCCTGGATAGCTTTCAAGGCACAACGGCTAAAGCATTATGGTCAAAAGGAAATACATTTTCAGCTGATTTGGTTGTTGCTCTTTTAACTTTTTCTGGGGCAATTTCTAGGTTTAGATGAGCATGGGAACATCGATCGACTGGTAAATCGAGAGCTTCACCTTTTGGCTCGGCTCTCTCTTCTCCATGACAGAGCGGTGCATCGCCCACCTGTCCGTCTCACGCTTCATTTTTCCGTAACTCACGACCGGAACTCGGCGCGCACTTTATTCTCTCCCGTCTCAGACTGCATCTTGTCCTGGAGGTGCTGGTTGAAATCCCGATCTACTTCACACTCGGCCATCAACTGCTCCAGTGAAAACTGTAGATCACGTTCTGACGATGCCAGCAGAACCACATCATTTACAAAAAAAACAAGAGCTCTGACTCTGAGGTCACCAAAATAGATAGATCCTCTACACATCTTGGCTCCCACCTAGAAATTCTGTCCATGAAGGTTACGGACAGAATCGGTGACAAATGGCAATGAGTTCAACTTAGTGCGTGCAATGGCTAATCGATATTGCTATGCATAGATAAATTGATTGATTGTGTTTGATGCAATTCGTTGGGCAAAACTACCAATTTGCAGTCTTGACCTTGTTGACATTTTCGGCTCGACTTAGAACATCTAACGACAGACTACCACTCCTGTCATTCGTTTTGCAATGCAACCGTTTCTACCGAAATTTACTGCTCAAAATGCTAATAGTTTGTATCGTTCTTTCTGCCACCCAGATGCAGCGTCGATAGCAAAGTCTCTCGAGTGGCTTGGCTCAACCGCACCACCATTCTGTTCGCGGGGACGGAGAAGTGGTCTTTGGATCCTCGTGTCATCCTGATGGAAAACACCGCCATCACAGAGTACAGCATTCAGATCCAAAATGTCAACGTTCACGACGAGGGACCTTACGTCTGCTCCATCCTCACCAACAAGAAACCAAAATCCACAAAAGTGCATCTCATCGTTCAAGGTAAGTCGTCGGATCGCGCGGTGCTGCGGCAGCTTTGTCAGGGATCCGTTTCGGCTGCCAGATGTCAATCTCTTGTCCCCTTTGGGTGTTCGCCGTCAGGCTAAAAATCAAAGAGGAAAGCTTTGGAGGGTGTGATTAGATGATTTTTTTTTTAAAGAGTATCAGACCTGATGATGAAACTGACATTCATTCGCAATTTGATTTTAAATTTCCTGTCAATATTAATAGCGGGTGTTGTACAATAAAAAAATTTAAAAAAAGAGAAAATCTTTCATCTTGATGATGAAATCAGTTTAATCCATGCTTTCTACAGCCATTGAGCTCAGTAATCAAGGATTTTTATGAGAAGTCTAAACCCTGTGGCTACACCAGAAGACATTTAATGAAAGATCAAACATAATTACTACATTAGCTGGTAGAGATATCTGATGGAGAATCAAAATGAGAACGTGCAATATCAGTACTGAGCCGTCTGCAATCCTAAGCAGATAAAGATTCCCCTGTTTATGGTTCTGTAATCCGCAGAGAAAACAACTCGAGTAAAACGTGTTCAGTGGAACTCAATAAGACAATAAAATGATCTTATTAACTTAAGATTTTTTTTTCTCTCTCATTAAATTATAACCTTAATTACCACCGGCCAACATTAATTAACAACGTTATCTAAATATGTTGAAACAAATAACCCCGAAGCGTTGGGCCCCTGCTTTAATCAAATCAAATATTAGCCAATATTATGCATTCACAAAATGTCATTTTTCTATCTATCCATGTTCGCTAACCGTGAAAAGGCTTGGACAGTCTGCACCACTCCAGTCTCACAAACAGATCTGGAGATAACACAAATTAAAACCGAACCAAGTGCTAAATACGTACAAAGAAAATGTGCATTTTGACTATTCATTGGCGCATGTGAGAGTGTGTGAACGCCAACATCCTTATATTACAACGTAAACAAATATTTCTGCTAAAGTGCTCTGTGTGAAAGCACTAATGCTATAGCATGTTACTATACCACTATTGTTACATTAGCTAGTTAGACATTAGATGCTCACAGCAAATCCATGTTTTGATCACTCTACTTACTACTGGAGTTCACACAAACACATGCATAACTCAGCTGACAGTAAAAAAAAAAAAAAAGAAGAAGAAAAAGAAAAAGGCAAATGCTTTTTCCTGGTTCTTCAAAACAGAAAATTACAAACTGAAGAGGCTCTAAGGCTACAGATTATGGAACAAAAGAAAAAATTTTTTTTTTTTTTTTTTTTTTTTGCAGTGCTCATCCTTTCATTTTCTTTACCCCCTAATCCTTACAGGGCAGACGGTTTTGGTTCCTTTTTTGTGGGTTTTGGCTTATAGCCTCCTCAACATTCACACTCGAGTACAAATCTTGAGCTTTTCTTTGATTAAAAAAGTATTTTTGACCCTTCGAAATTTCTATTTGTCGACACTTGCAAACATACTTTTTTATTAAACCCAAATTGCCATAATTAACACACATAAAAGCAAACACACAGTGACGAAGTTCCAGGAATAATATTTCAACAATATTCTAAATTATTGGACGGCTCTATATCACAGTCCATCAATCCACACGGCAAAATGCAGATAGATTCAAAATAACTCAAACATCTCCTTGTTTGAGTTATTTAAAATAAATTTAAAGGTGCCTTTTAGTCTAACTAAAACACTAAAAGTCTTCACAGAGTGAACAAAGATGTCAAGATGTCAGTTGAGTCACAGATGAAACAAGAATCCCGCCTGCAAACTTCATACGATTATTTTTGTTCTCATATTGAAGTTTGAGAAAATGTCTGTCCTTTCTGTCATGATGCTCTTTCAGCTTGGAAACATTTATCTAAGAACACAAGCGCTGTTGCTTAAAATGTTGCCAATCTTTTATTTTTGCAGCAAATTTGGAAAATGCCACTTTCTTCTAATTTAGGGTCCTTCTGCAGAGGAGGTAGCAACTAGCAAACTGCTCTGTAAATGAAAGTAAAACCGTGGCGCTGGTGCTGGAGCCGTAATGTCTGAGTGATACTGTGACAGGCTGACGTTACATGGGAGATGAAAGCCCCCTGTTGCTGTATTACATGGCTGACATCTAGAGGCCTTATGATTATTGGGGAAACACAGTGTTTTCAATTCCACAACGTGTCAATATGGAAATGTGGATACTGTTAAAAACAACACACACACAGTGTTGGAACCAAAAATGTGTGATTTGAGGGCTGGATTCAGACCTCATGCTGCCTATTGAGGGCCACTGCTCTACAAATAATCACCTTCTCTATAAGCCGTCTATTTGTCAGAGAACGGACCAAGAATCGATCCTTGATGCAGTTCCACTCCTACAGCACACCTCACTGCTGTCTCACGGCTCTTGTACATACCCTGGGCCACTGCCTCTCCAGACCTCCTTCTGCTGTACCACTTCTTTCATACACTTTCTCTAAATCTACAAAGGAAAAATCCAGTTCCCTCTGGCCATCTGTACTTCTCCATCAGCATCACACAAACAAAATTTGCCTCTGAGTAGTCTTTCTTGGCATGAAACCATAAGGCTCACTTCTGACTTAAGCCTATCTTGTACTGCTCTTTTTTCCACAGCGTCATGGTATGACTCATTAGTTTTGCTTTGTCTGGGGTTGGCGCAGTTCTTCTTGTTCTTAAAATTTGGCACTAAAACGCTTCTCAGGCGTCTTTTCACTCTTCAAGACCTCGTTGAACAACCCAGTAAAAACCTCTGCTGCCTAAAACATTCCCACGGGTTTATTGTCTGGACCAAGTGCCTTTCCTTCGCTTCATCCTAATTAATCTCGGCTACATCCTGATCCTCAGCAGCCACCTATTCTACTCTGCACTCTCTCTCAGTTCCCTCATTCATCAGCTCTTCAAAGTACTCCTTCCATCTTTCCGTCATTAACTTGGGACTTGTCAGTACATTTCCCTCCCTGTCCTTAATCACCCTTACTGGATGAACACCCTTTCCATCTCCATCTCTCTGCCTCGCCAACCTGTACTAATCATTCTCTCCCTCCTTCCTGTCCAACCTGGTATGCAGGTCATCATACACCCTTTGTTTGGCCTTTGTCACCGCTTCCTTCACCAGCCGCCGTATCATTTGCTCCCAGATGACAGAACAAATACCCTCCTGCATGTCTCCCTTATCACATTATCTGTAACCATTCACTCATCTGGGAGTCCCCACCAAGAGCCTGTCTCCAGTGATCCCTGAAAATCCTTCAACATTTTCAGTTTTTACGCCACATGCCCATCCTGAATCAACCCTCTGCTTGTAACCCCTTACGCTTGCATTATTTAGGCAAAAGAGAACACCACAAAATAATTCTTGATTAGTAGATTATTTATGTACGTCCTTTGTGCTGAGAAGAGTTGTCAGGACCTCACAAGAGCTTTTTGTTTATCCTCAGGAGATTAACTAAAATAAACTGAAAGTCTGTGTCCGACTCACCTGAGTTCAACAATGTGCTTGCTGGTTATCCACAACTTACTTTCTTTAAACATATGACTTTCCAAACTACAGAAAAGGAAGCTTATCATAGCAGTTAACCATATTACACTGTTATTATTATAATTATTTCAACAAGTTAGGTTTATTAGAACAGGACTTAATATATCTTCAGAGATTCTTCAAAATCGGTGCATAAAAGGCACACAGTCAGAGGCAGCAGATGATTTTTGTTTTCAGGTTTGGGGTCGCCTTCCACTCTGCCTCTTGGCGCTTGTGGTGGTCTGCTGTTGGGTCCGCACTCACATTTGAGCTTATCTTTGTTTTTGCACTTCAGCACTTCCATATGCACTCATACAACACATCCAAGCATTTGCATTACGCCACCAAAACTGACTTTCACAATGTAGTTTTTGTTAAGAAATGTTTATTTTCTGGTCTCCTGTTTTGGTCATGACCTTGAGCCGATCGTAACAGTGTCGATCTGCAGTGTCAACAAAAAAGTGTAAGATCCAGAAAAAACAGTACAGTAGATGTTCAAGAGTCAAACGAAATCCAGTAGTCACTAGAAACATTGAGTGAAGCTGTCTAAACGGCTCATGTATTTTTATTTTTCCAACAAAATAACTGAGCTGTTCTGCCAATATTTTTTAATGTGTGAAATAGAAGGGATATTAAAGATAGGCCTGTAGTCTTTAAGCTGTGATAGATCCAAATTGCATCAGTATGCTTGAACAAACTTGGGACCATGTCTATTAAAAAAAGTATTGCAGATTTCTAAAATACCAGGGCCAAATGCAGGAAAAACGGTTCTATTCAATGCCACTGGGAAAATGGAGAGCCGTCAGTTCTGTGGTTGTTAGAGACAAATGTAGCTACAGTTACAACTCTACTACCTAATAATTCAGGATAGTTAGTATTCATTCATTCTGACTAAGAACGTTGTTCTTAGTGAACCAACCACAAAGGACCAAGATCAAGACGCTGGCATTAATCAGACCAAATCAATTAATAAATGTTCTCCCCAATGGCGTGACTGAAGATGATGTGTTTTGTAGTATTTTTCTATCAGAACTTAAAAATGCAGTTTTTAAAACGACAAAATATAAAAAGCTAAATTTTATCATTCTTACTTATGCATCAAGACATCATCGGTCATTAGATCTAATCAAAAAAACGACATCAATTCGGAGCTTTCAGTTTAGTTTGCTTGCTTACTTTTATTTATGACATCACAAAACCTTGAGTACATGACAACTCTTCGGAAGCACATCCTATTCCATAAAACACAAATCTCAAGTGCTGCTCAGAACTACAGTTTCCTTTAAATAATTTTGTATTCTGGGTCTAACATTCAAGTTAGAATGTCGACACATGCAACTCACTTGCCATTCCTCTCACTGCTCACAGCGACACGTTACAGTAGATTAATGATCAAGTGTTCATGGAAGTCCTGATTCTGATCAGCAGGAAATTAGATTGCTTTCTGCGATACAACGCAACATTGGATAAAAGCAGGATTAACTTT